TCTTTAGCACATGCAAAAGAGTAAGTACTGGATTTATTTTATGCGTTTACAACTGACATAAAAAAATCAGCATATCACAAAGTCACTTGTAAATTTAGTCAGTGATTTAATAGACTAACGATTTTTTTATTTAAACAAAAATCCGATGTCTGTTATTCTATCTATCTATAGCAGTCACTTAAGAAAACACCCAGAGGCTCGTTTTACTGACACAATTATGAAATAATGCAATTACGAAGCAGAAAAGTGCAGAATTTTGCCCTGATTGTCTAGTTTGCTCAATTTTCGGACTATTCAAGTAAGTGGACTTTATTTTTATTTACAATTCAATGAAAGTAAGAGCCATCGATAACTTTGCCGATGAGTGGTTTGTGTTGGCAAATGATACAGTCTGGTTTATTTCCAAGTGTTTTTGCAATCCACTTTGAGTTAGGAAGAAAACTGACAATCATTTAGATCGAGTTTTTGAGCCGAATTTTTTTCTGATTGCTAAGTTCTTAGCCGAAAACTTAACTTCTTTCCTCATGTACCACTAAGGAGGCTTGTGATTTTGCAAAATCACCGGATTTTCACAAAAATATTGCTTTTCTTGATTCAAATAAGTCCCAGTTAGAATGTAGTCAGCTATCCGGGGTTACACTGGAAGGTTCACTATCAGCAAAACCAGTAGCAACATCACCGTTTTTCTTATTTTCCGTGGTTGCTGTAGCATTGTCTTCTTTAACTGTACCACCATCATCAGCCTTTTGGTTCGTCTTCTTACTGCTTTCGTCAATTTTCTCCGTTTTAGCCCAAGGCTGTACATCAGAAGTCGCAAAAACGCAGTATAGGATCAGCCCAACAACGAGTATTCCACCGGTTATGAAAAATACCCTTCGCCATTCTTCCTCTGTTGCCTGTAACATAAGATTGCCAAAATCACCACTCATTTCGATAAATGGATTTTTTACCATTAAATTAATTTAATTGTCATTCTTATCATTAAAATAATTTTATTAATTTACAAATTTTTTGTAATTCTCATTTTTTACCTTCATTTCTTTCATCCCTTTTCGTCCACATTTCATACACCTTCCTATTAATATACCTTCTTATTTCAACAAATATTTAATGGCAATCTATTTAGTAGCACAACGCGACAGACATGGGTTGAGGGTGTGAAACGTGGTCACTGGTGAAAGTAGAAGAGCGAACTCCGGCTATGACAAAAAGAGTGGCGAACTAAAGATGATTAGGTGCCTCTTTGCCTCCATAAAAACAAATGGTACTCCCTGTTATATTAGCGACGTGAAGGTCATCAGCAACTATGAAAAAGGTAAAGTCCGGTGAGCTGGGCATGTTCTTGCTTAACAACCGGTGAACATCGCGCTACGAGAAAATAAACAAACGTTTGAGCTACTTTTGAATGCTAGTACGTTTTATACGAAATAATTTACATATGAGACATAAGGCACCCCTCTTGTCTCGTGTAATACCACGGTTTTATCAGTTACCGTAATTTGAAACAGTAATAATACTTGTTAGTAATAAACCCAGGCTGGAACGCACCAGGCTTGCTGGTGTGATCATGCATTTTTGCACTAAACTCGCAGATCGCTAATAGCGGGAATAAGCCTTCCACTATAGCCTAACACGGGCTCATACTGTCCGAACTCTGGCCTTTTGCGACATACAGGAGAAAGGGCGTCGATTGAGATGGTGTTGCATTACAGGGCTGCATGGACTTCTAGGTACTCGATTACCAGTTTTTTGCATGAAGCTGGGTAGTTTCTTCGGTACGCTAAAAAGTGAAAATGTTACTAGAGCGGCCGTTCGTCAAAAAATTCAAGTGCAAATGAACTGATCGTTCATTCACATGTTTGTATGAAAGCGATCGTTCACTGCAAAGCGCACTCATTTCTGATTTTTCGGTAAAGTTACGGGTGCTCTTTTGTTCTCAGAATAGACTGGAACCAAAATACCATACAACGGACAGAAAATTTAAGGAAAAAATATCCGATGATAAGGATTTTTACTGATGCATTCTTGTGCTGCAGTAAAAAAGTCGTAAGAGGATATTGTACCTGCGGTGTAAGAACTCCAACAATTATTGGTCCCAAGATACCAGCGATGCACGACAGGGTATTGCCAATACCCATCAGCTGTCCAGCAAAAGTTGGCGCAATATCTAGGTAGCTTACTGCATAGCCAGCGTACGCTGCTCCAGATAGACCAATACCTAGCGTGAGGAATACAACCGTAAGTACGATTTGATCACACTGCAGATAACCGGTGCCTATTAGAAAAACAGCCTCACCGAGGAAAGCTGAAAAAAAAAGTTCTAAATAGAGATTGCCGGGATCAATTCTGATTTAAAAGCTTGGTGTAGCTGGGCCCATCGTGAAAAGATATCCCGGCCACATCACTGACATAGCGTCTCCACTACGATTGTGAGGTCGGTCTTGCTATTCTTGATAATCAAGACTAGTGCCTTGTTCATTTTGTAGGAATGGGGCATACACTAATATTGATGGTCTTTATACAAGGTTACTAAAAATGTAGCTGTTTGTTGTGATATTAAAGATAAGAAGCCAATATCCCTCCGAATTTGCTCTCTGTGAGTGTTGCAAGTATCAGAAAATAATAGCAAAACTATTGATGACAGCCTCTTTCAAAGGTGTAGCTTAGAAGCACGCTAATGGCAAATCTGAAATCCCTCGCATATGCCAATACCAATTTACCACCGAAACGGATGAACGAATTGTAAGAGTTGGTTACCTAAACAACCTTTGATTTACGGGATGACATTAGCGTCGCTTTCCGCTACGCTGTTGCTAGATTTCGTGCTCGGATAGTTTGTCAGCTTTTTTGTACAGCCTGTGTTTCCAAAATTAACATTATTTGCTTTTTTTAGTTGGATCTTGGCCCCTTTCATTGGACTTTGATGTGCTTTTTACTGCCACCTTAAAATTCAGTTGGAATAGCAAGAACTCCAATTAGGGTCATCCTGACCGAATTCGCTTTTTTTTATGGCTTACTTTTTCAATTAGAATGAAACTTTGCATTTCTGAAGTCGTTTTTTCTTTTCTTTAAGCAACCTTCTTTTGATTTTCAATAAGACTTTGCGATATCCCTGGATAAATTCTCGATTTTGCCTTCTTACAAATACTCTAAGGTCCACTTTACTCAGATTTAAAATCAGAATGTTCATTTGCGCCGGAACTTTTTAAATTCAAAGTCCACATCTACTCCTTCAGTTTGTACTAAATGAAGCTGTAGTCGTACCAACGGCCATTGCCAGCCGTCTGGTATTGATAGTCGATAACCATCCAGCGCCCCTTACTTTATCAGCAATAACACCACTGCCGGCAACGCAAATGCAGTATAATAGAAATGGCAACGCGGCTACCATACCCATCTACAAAAGCAAATTTTAATTGCTTAAAAAAAATTCGTGAATAAACCTTTTCATCATTTGTTCAAAGCTAAAAGACAACACCATTAACATTTTTTTTGTGAGAAATAGCTTATCATTTTCAGTGGCAAGAAAGCAGACTACTTGATTTTAGGATCATAAACAAACAAATGATTCACACATCGTGCTTGTTCTTGAATCAGATTTTTGATCATGAAGAAGAATTCTGAATTATAAGGTCGAACAGTGTGCAGTGGCAAAATTTTGAAATTCGAAAAAAAAAAAATTTGTAAAATTTATACATAAGAGTCAAAATCTATCTCCTTTGTGTCCCATGAGGGGGGTGCGATCACCTGGCAAACTGCCCGAGTGGTAACAAACGCCAATAGCAACTACCCGCTGTCAAAGTTGTCGACGTTTTTCCCTTTCGAGGAGTGCTTAGATAGCCTTGTCAGTGTGTGGTTGATAACAACACTTGCTGTCGATTGTGTTAATTCTCGAGTGCCCCAGCCTTTCAGTGGGATTGAATACGAAATTTTCCAATTTTTTGGGACTTTTGAGTGTGTACTTTTATTCTATAAAAACAGATTTAGTTGATTGATCATACGTCAGCATTTTTAGGCAGATGATCATCTTGTCAGCCGTGATTAGGCAGTTTTTATGACTATCCGCTCAAAGATAGTCGGTATGAATGGCAATTAGTGACTGAGAACAACAAAAGAGGCAAGATTTAAGCAAGTAATATTTCTTAGTAAGTAATACTTCGTAGGAGCTACAAAAGTATATGAAGGCAAAAACGGAAGACAGCCATTCGATCCTCAGTGCAGCACAGTTCACACATATGTAACCTTATTATAATACTTATTATAATACAGGTTCCAAAATTCTCGAAGTGAAATTTTTTCTGGAGAAGATAACTAACTGATGTAAGCTGCATTCCTCGAACATCATTCAGAAATGTTGGCAAACTACTCATCATAATGTAAGAACCGAAATCGCTGGCCCAATGACCAGCGAAT